TATTTTTATCTATTCTATGATGTAAATATGAAAATATAACAAATGAATCATTCGCTATGCTTACTCATGAATTATCTTTTCAATACTCAATGATGAAATCTGTACACTACAAGGGTACAATGTATATGTAATTATACTGTTTAAATATGACGGCCAACAAAATGTTATTCAATAATTATCATCAAAGATTGCCCTGTGCAGAATTGCCATTGCAGTCAATAATTCACAAGGAAAAAAAAAACGGCTATAAAATTGATAGAATCACAAAGTATACTTTTATCAACCACCATCGTTATCTTATATCATACAAATTAATTCATGAATTATCCCTTTTATTTTTAATTACCACCTGGACAGCAATCATTATTATTAATTAATTAAATTATCACCATCATCATAATCATCATTCTGTGATTGTGCACTTAAAGATTTACTTAGTGAGATTAATTCAAAATGTTCACTCAGTCAACACAGGGCATTTGTCCCCATAGCAACAGAGATCAGTTAACGTGCTACTTGCATGAAAATGGTCTTATTTCAAAACTTCAAGCAATACAAATATATGACTCATTTATATCTATTAAAAACAATTGCGGGAAAATATTTGTTTTGGAATTATCCGACATCAGAGAAATTTTGATTCAAAAGATGGAAGAGCAAAAGGATGGAGTAAATGACGTCATCTACTCCAACATTTTTTGCCCAAATTGTTAAGGATTTGTATCAATATCTTCTTAATTTGTACTAAAAGTGGAACTGAAGCAAGACGGTATTGAATGCTTCATTTGTATCAATTCAATTTTTTTGTGTGTACCCCATGCACGATGTACTAAATACAACTAAAAAGAACTATTTAGTTTGTACAGTTGCGCGGATTAAGTGCGATCACTCTACTGTTTCCAGTTATTTAGCTTACTAGCTATATCTTTAGCATTAGTTTAGTTAGTAAATTGTACAAAAGCGCTTTTCACATTTAGTGATTGTATTCAATTCTATTTCGTAAAAAAATGCCCGGAAAGATGTCAGATTTCATCGTTTCCTCATGCCGTTATGTCTATGTGTTTGTAGTCATTGTAATGACTAGTATAAAAGGCAATATCATATGCTTCCGACAAAAACACCCCGAGGAAATAATATCGAACCAAGAGTAAGAGAAGGAAATTTCACAAGTCAGATAGGAAGCCGTATCCGGGTAATGAAGGCGAACACTCAAGTCAAGTGTCAWTTGATGATTTCATTTTTCATGAGTCAAAATCAATTGCTTGTATTGTCATAGATATTTTGAGAAGGCACGAACTGTCACGAATGTTTTTGATCGGCAAAAAATTGTTTCAGAAAAGTTGTCCTTCGTTTGTTACCCATATTTGGTAAACATACCTTTAATATTTACATGTGGGTCGGTTTTTGGCGCTTTTCTGGACTTTTAAAGCTTGAAATTGTCTGAAACTTGCAGATATTATAGCGAAAACACTTCTGAACAATCGGCCATTTTGTTTTTTTCCATATATGGCATGGATTCGCTAAAAGGAAGCCCGAAATTAAAATGCACAGGGATCCCGCACGAGTACCAGTGGCTTGGTTCACGCTGTGACAGAAACCGAAACCGAAGCAGAAGCTTGTTCACACTTGACAGAAGCATGTTCTTATGTCCCGGTTCACTCTCACAATCTTTCAACATAAGCAGAAACCGAAGCAGAAGAAAATGAGGTGACTTCAAATATCCTTTCGCAATCCGTTTCCATCCATCAGTTTAGGCTCGCTCAAATCCGATTTAATATCTTCATCATTCAACTTAAAGGGATAATAAAGAGT